TTTTTTTTTTCTTGTTTTCTCTTTCTTCACTGGCACCGCCCCTCCCCCACACACCCACACCACAGCAGCAACAACACGTCTGTGCGTGTGTGTGTGTGTGTGTGTGGGTGTGGGTGGGTGGGTGGGTGGATCGTGTTGAACCGCGTGTCTATCTAATTCCCCCACACCTGCCTTGCCTCTTTTCTTTTTCTTCTCGTTGCATTGCTCTCATCGTTGTTTCCGTTCCGCCGCCTTCTATGACCGCTCCCTCCCGCATCCATTTCCTCCGTCGTCGCCCCCGCTGCTGCTGGCACACACACTCACACTCACACTCACCCGCCGCCGGCACCTCATTCGCCCTGCACAGAGCGCCAGACGGTGGAGTTCAAGTAGTTGAAGCCGCGCCGCCAGTTGAGGGCGTCGGGGTTGCGCTCGAACTGCTGCCACTTTTTCCTGCACGTCTCGCGGGAGTATTTCTGTGGGCACTTGAGCGAGAAGCGCACCCATTCCTCGAAGACATGGTCCTCGTTGCTGAAGTTGTGCAGCGCGAGGCCGACGCGCACCCACAGGTCGTAGCTCTCCGCCGAGCGCGGGGGCATGCGGCGCAGCTTCTGGATCACCGACTTGAAGCGGCGCCACTTGGCGCCCTCCGTGAGGTACACCGAGACGGGGTTGCCGTACGCGTCGAACTCCGCCGCCTGCGCGTCCCGCGGCCCCAGCACGTGCTTCGCGCGGATGAGGCGGAAGTGTCGCAGCGTGTCGCTGCCGCCACTGCTGCTGCTGCTGCTGCCCCTGCGGGTATCGGCGACGGGGGCGAAGCGGACGCCGAAGGTGCGCTCGAGGATCTCCGCCTCACTGAGGACGCCGATCTGCGCCGCCATGTCGTTCAGACGCCGCTGCAGCGCCGCGTCCTGTGCCTTCAGCAGCGGCACAAGTCGCTTGCCCTTCTGGCTCGCTGCGCCGCCACCACCTGCTGCTGCTGCTGCTGCCACCGCGGAATGGGCGGCAAGCTTGCTGCTGTAGGCGCAGCGCAGCATGCCGTTGACGCGGTAGCACTGCTCATCCACCACGGTCCGCCCTAACGTCATGTTCACCTCGTCCGCGAGCAGCTTCACTACGCGGTAGTCCTGAAAGGCGACGATCTTTTGCGCGCTCCGTCGGCCTCGCTTCCCTGACTTCTTCCCGTCGGCCTCCTTCTTTTTCTTCTGCCGCTGCTGCGTTGGTTTGTCCATGCTGGTGGTGTCACTGTCGACGCCGTCGTCGCCGCTGCCGCCGGTCTCCTCGTGGTCCTCGCCCGGCGTGCCCATGGCGCGGGCGTGCACGTGATACGAAACCTTGTCCGCACTCGGCACCTCGTTTGTAAGCACGAGAAATGAGGGCTCCAGGAAGCCGATGCCGTGGAGCCGCACCTCGAGGTAGTTGAGCATCTCCAGCAGCACCTTCTCCCCCACCGCTGGCGTCTCGTTAGGGAGGTCGACGTCCGCAAAGAAGTCGCACGGGACATTCTCGCGGCCGCAGATGCTGTGGAAGTGACGCATGTGTGGTGGGAAGTCGAGCAGGCGCTCGGCCACAACGAGAGCCGAGTCATTGTGGGCGCTGCCAAGGCTCGCGCCTGTCGCAGTGCTGTTGCGGTTGTCTTCCAGAAACTGCGGGCCACACTCGAAGCGAATGAAGGAGAACGCACCTGATTTGCTCTCCTGCCGCCCCACAAGCATATCTACCGGCCGCGTGACAGCAAGCACCTGATCGAGGCGGTAACTGCGCGTGATGTGCTCGTGGAGCCCGCGGAATGGATTCGACGGCGCGCTACTATTATTGCTGCTGCTGCTGCTGCTGCTGCTAGTGGTATTGCTCGTATCATCATCGGGGAAAGCGGCATGGCCATTATTTTGGGGGCTGTCAACGGCCCATATGCCTCGTCCCGCATTGTCCTCCTCGACCTCCTCGCCCGCCATTGCTGCGGCCTCATCCTCATCTGCTGTATGCTTATTATTCATTTTCCTCTTATTTTTCCTCCTCTTTGGCGGCGTTTCAACATGTTGCTCCACCGCGTCCTCCACCGCAACTCGCTCCAGCAACAGCGACGGCGGCAGCGGGGGGCGGAGATACTGCGGCAGCCTTTCTTGGTGGCGGGAAGGAGATACCTGCAGCCCGCCCTGCGGCGGCAGCAGGAGGCCACCGTCGCTGCCATCGCCTTCCACGCCGAAGGAGGCAAGGTCAAAGTCTAACGCAGCACCGTTGCCGCCTCTTCTCTTGCTACTGGCGCGCGCGGAGGACGTCAGCCCCTTCTTTCCCCCGCGACGGTTGTCACCGCCACCGCCGCTAATGACACCACTGCCGCCGCCACCGCCGCCGCTCTTGTTGCTGCCGCCGGAGCTGCGAGTGGAGGCAAACAACGCCGATGACGACGAGGCTGTCAAGGCGCATTGCACCACGCGTGTAAGCCGCAGCATGCGAAGCACCGCTACTGTAGTTGTCGCGGTAATCTCTGCTGCTCGCCTGCGTTGAATGAATGCGTCTAGATTGAGCCGTTGGATGCGCCCCTGCAACCGAAGGATTATGCAGGCGTATAGTTGTGTGTCTGCGTATGGGAAAGGAAACTAAATGGTCTATGTGTGTCGCTCCAGTCGCAACACTATCTACGTTGTCTCTAAGTTCTCTCTGTCTCTTTTGGTTTTGTCCCTTCTCCCTTACTTCTTACGTGGTGTGGATCCGCCTTGACCTCCTCCCACTGCTCCTCTCTGCTGGGCGCAGGAGTCACCAGGCACACACCCCTCTGCTGCAGGCAGGCCACAATGATGATAATAATAATAATAATGATAATAATGATAAAAGACAGCGTGGGAAGAATAATGAACAAAGAGGAAGACAC